CTGTATATCAATTGCTCTGTAAAAAGGTGTGAATCATGACTAATAAAGTTTCTACGTTTGGCAATATAAAAAAAAAAAAATAAAAAACAGAAAAAGCAGAAAAGACATGCTCACACCCTACATTGTAAGGAGTAATTGCGAAAAGTAATAAAGCAAGTTTTTGAAGATGATGATGTGGTAGTTTACATGCGGACTATCAGATTTCTGGAAGTTCAAGATGATCTTAAAAAAAAGAATTGTACAGAGATAATTGAAAATCATAATTATGAATTTGTGCAATTAATTCTCGTGCACTATTATCTCCCCCATCTAGTGACTTCCAAATAGTTAAAGTGCTTTGATAAATTTTTTGAAATGCTTCAGAAACTAAGCCTCTGCCATGATATTTGGGGTGAAGAAAATAAGCTAATAGATAAAAGTTAGTATCGAATTCACCTCATCTTTTGTTGTAAAAAGAAATACATTTTTTTCGAAATTCAAGTCTTTCAAGAGTTGTATCTACAATTAGCATGGTCTTAATCATATTGGCCATTTTGATCAAAATTAAAAACACATCAGCAAACTTAATATTTGATGATTCAACGGTTTTAACTACAATTTTAGCAGGTTCAAGAACTTTATGAAGACATTCAACGTTGGCCCAAAATTCATGACTTCTTATTAAGTGTATGAGGATCGTCTTCAATCATCTAATAAATTAAAATAAAAATAAATAAATACATGTACTGTATAGTATATATTAAATAAGGCTTCAGAATTAGCCTATTTCGAAAATAAATAAAATAAATAAAGCAAAATTAGCCTATTTCAAAAATAAATAAAATAAATAAAGCAGAATTAGCCTATTTCGAAAATAAATAAAATAAATAAAGTTAAAGTTCTTTAAAAATTTCAAATCAGAAAATTAAATAGATATATTTGATAAAAAGGTAGAATTTTTAATAAATTTATTGGTAAGCGATAATATAAATAAGTAAATACTTTAAATAAAGAGAATTTATTTTAAAATAAATATGCCATTTATTTATTAAACTTATATATCTAAAATTCTTTAACAAAGTAACTTACATTCCGTAAAACAGGTTCCAATTTCAAGACTGAATCGCAACAATCCCATGCTGAACACTATCTAGTCTTAACAGACGATTTTAAACCTCCGCTTTTAATAAGAAAATTTTTAATTTTATCTCTTAATTGAGCACTAGACACATGTAAATTTTGAAAGTAAGTAATGAATTCTTGACATTTTGAAAGAACTTGAAATCCAAATAAAGTTTTTTTAATAATGTCTGACACTATTAGTTGAACATGATGAGCGATACAATGAATTAGTATAATATGTAGATATTTTTGAGCAACAAGATTTTTTGCAAGTTGCATCGCAGTGGCACCATCTGAAACAACAACTCCAAATTTTTCTGGCCCGATTTCGTCAATTATTTTAATAATTTCATTTGATAGAAACCTTCCAGTATGCGAATAAGAAGAAAAATCTTGAACGGAATGAACATATTGATATCTATCAGGAGTAATAATGACAAATGCATAATAAGAATGGTGTGATTCACTCGTCCAACTGTCAAGAGCTAATTTAACAATATATAATTTATACAATTAATTATATATATGGTAATATAATATTATTTTTATATTTAAAAATAAATTTATCTAAGGTCAAATTTTTAAGTCGTTTAAACTGCTCATCTATATTGATCGTAATTTGAGTAGTTTCTTGATCAACCCAGAGATTACTTAAGGTTCTTCGATCAGGAGACGTATAACCCACATTAAGATTTTTAAGCAAATCAATAAAAAAAGGACTTTTAACAACCCAAAAAGGAATGCCACAACAAGTAAAAAAACGAGTTAAAGCTTTGTTAATAAGCTTTTCTTGACTTGAGTCTATATGGGTTGATTGAAATTTGTCGGTAATTTTTGACTGATTTTTAGTTTCAACTTCAATTTTCTTCTTTTTTTTTTTTGAAGATTTGGAATTCGTTATCATATGTAAATATTTTTTTTAATATCTCCTGGCACATTTTTACATTCCAATGCTAAGTGTGATTTTATTTTACTAGGCCGCCCTCATTGTGTAATCTCTTTACAGTATTTATACTTCATTGCTACATGCCCATGTTTATCACGTGCTTCAAGTTTAATATACTTATTATTTACGGGATCCTCAGGTCTACTAACCGATTTTTTAGCCTTTGTTTTTTTTCTTTTTTTGTTATATTCACTAATACTTTTGTCACTAGCAGAAGAAGGTTCAGAACTATCGATTCTACTAGTTTCGGGAATTTGACTATCATCATTATTCTCATTTTGACTTAATATTTGAAAGAATTTAACAATCAGTGCTTTGATAATAATAAATTTCAAAGTTTATTATTTATATACAAATATATAACATGTTAATTACAATATAAATTAAACTTTACTCATATATATTATATATATTCATTATTATACTAGAATACTTTTGCTATATTATTAGTTTAAAAACATAAATCAAATGCGCATATAATTAATGTACATACTAAACTAAAAAAAGTTCAGATAATAAGCAAAAAATTAAAGTTGGTAAAATCTTCACACACCCTGCAAATCTGGATTTTTTTATAAACTTTAAAAGGATTTTCTCACAAATTCAATATCAATATTTAATCCCTGAGAAGATACCAAATATATATGTGAGTAAAAAGTAATGCCGTTTCTATGAATCAGGATATTATTACTAATTCTTAACCCATATATATTAAACTTTGAAACTAATTAAATTTAATATGTAATGTGTAAGTAAATATTGATTTGGATATTGAATTTAGAAGCCTAAATGCTAATATAAAAAAACTTGTGCGATTAATAAGTTCACAAGTTAAAACTAGATTTGAACAAGATAATCATATTTAGTATTAATGTATAATGTTAAGTCAATATCTTGATTATTTCAAGTTATTCAGATCAGAAGATACCAACCAAAGTTCATTAATATTAATATAATAAAATAAAGTACTAAATATAAAATAAAAATTTTTTTTCTGTGTTTCTTGATTTTGATTAGTGCATATAAATATAAAAACTAACTTTTAAATATTACATATGTAAATTATCATTAAAATTCAAGTTATTATCTTGATTCAATAGTAGATATAAGATTGTTACATTAGGGATCTCAAAGTTAAATCATGAAAATCTAATTTTAATTGAAATTGATATATTTATTTTGAAATGAGTGATTCGGTAATCTGATCTTATCTTCAATTTGAACAAAAATTTTACTTTTTATTTATTTTATTTTTACCAAGTATTATAAAAATTTTCTGATTTAACTCTCATTTAATTTCAAAATGCAACACATGATTAGTTTTACAAGTTAATCAATGACTTTCGTCAAAGAATGACCTAGTCCAAACTGCGAGCACTTGATTGCTTCGCTTATATCTGATTTCAATGTTTATACTAAGGCAAGTACTTTTATTTATTACTCAATATACACTTTAAGAGTGAGACTTTTTTAAATTCTTTTCACTAACTATTATATTTGCTTTTTCATATATACATATTTCGGGTCATATTACTTATATCATAATTCGTTCATATACGATCATACGATCGTTTAACTCTTACATTACTAATAAATTACCTCATATTTCATTAGGGATGTTACGGTCCTACAAAGACCACGGTCCTAACTGGTTTTTTGAACCAGTTCAAGTAGTTCCCGGTTCAAGAATTTAGACCAGTCCAAATAAGTCAGTCCGCGATTTATATAATTAAATATATGCAAGATAATGTGCAGGGAACAATTACGTTCATATTTAAATTGTATCTGCGTGTTTATTTTTCATTACTAGAAGTCTATTATACTAATATCATTGCTTTGTAAAATGAATGTTATTTTACAGAGGTTTGATCGCAAGTGTAAAAGGTGGCTTTTTTTTTTATGTATACATAGAAATAAAAAAAAAATACCAATACTACTTTTTAAAGAATAATGTTTGAATTACACAATCTTTTTACTAAAGCTGACTTACCAGAATTGGTTCATGTATAACTTTGATACTAAATAGAGCAATTAATGTTTTAAAACATTTTGAGATTAAGAATTTTTATTTTATATAATAACAAGTTTTTATATAATTTCATGGGAAAAAACCCCAAAGTTTTGTAATAGCCAGTTTTAACTTAAACAAAAAAATTTTATTCACGAAATAAGAATCTCAAAACACACATTCAAGAATTGAATTTCTAAACTGTATGATTTAATCTACACAATGGGTAAAAATCAATATTAAAAAACCAGATCGTATCATTATTCTGCTCAACTAATATACAAGTATTTTGTAATTCATTATTATCCAATATAAAATAATTATCTTAAATGCATGCGATTCAACTTCTATAATTCGAATTTTTGTCCAAGAATCCAGATTGATCCTATTTCTGCTTATATTCTCACGATATCTGATATTGTTTGTTTCAAAACTTAAAAAAAATCTAATTTCAGAAACTGAAACTTTCCAAATCATAAAATTGCATCTTTTAAAAAAATCACTGTGTTACGTTTTCATGTATCAATTAGCCAATTCAAGATGAATCAAACTTGATTGTAAGAGATAAGAATATATAAAATGATAAAATAGCAGAATAAGTAATTATAAACTAAAGTTATACTGTGAAAAAAAAAAAAAACCCTCCAGATAAGATAAAATACAGTATATTAATCGTGATTAATATCTAAATCAAAAAACAAAAAATCACTTAGCTCAATAAATTAAAGTCCAATATGGTAATAAATAATAGAATGTATCTTTGATTTAAAAATATAGAGCTTTGCTCTTTTTTTTTACAAAAAAAAAACAAAAAAAAATGAACCTGATGAAAATTATAACCTTTCTGATCCTGAAAATAATGATCCGTTTGAAGATAATCTTTCAGATCTAAATAGTCAGGTTTCTTGAGAAACCAATACTAGTTTACCTCAAAGTAATAATACACCAAGGAGGCTTAAAAGGCATTCATCAGTTTGGCCTCACTTTGATACCACTACAGTTTCTCATCCTGGATTACTCATATGCCAAAGGTGTAATACCATCTTTTCAGTCACTACTGGAGTTTCATCTTTACAAAGATATCTTAGTTCTCACAATATTAGTGCGCCGGCAAGACGCCAAACTACTCTTCTCTTTCCTAGAAACTCTAGAACTGACTCATATAATGATGAAGAGCAAAGGAGGAGAGACAAAAAATTAATTACCTGGATCATCGCCGACCAACAACCATTCACCGTTATTGAGAATCAATATTTTAATGATTTTATTAATTTTCTTGACCCCCGTTATATAACACCAACAAGACAAGCTGCAAAAAGAATAGTTATAAATAAGTTCGAAAGTAGAAGAATTAAAATAGTTAATGATATTGTAAGAATTCCTGGAAAAATTTCTCTAACCGCCGATATGTGGATGTCCCAAAATTTCGAAGCATTCCTCGTATTACAATTCACTACGTTGATGCAAATTGGAAAATACGACATTTTCTTTTAGACATCATTCCATTTACCAATAGACACATGGGTGTAAATATGGCAGATGCCATTAACGATCTTCTTACTGAATTTAATATTCAAGATAAAGTTCTAGCACTTACGACAGATAACGAGTCCGTGATGATCGTTTGTGAAAGACTAATTGCACAAGAACTCCAAAATGAATTCGATAATATTGGGTTTTCACATTACCGTTATGCGGCCCATGTGCTCAACTTAGCTGCAAAACAGGAATTAGAAATGGTAGACACCTCAGTGGAGAAAGTTCGAAGCCTAATATCAAAAATCAAAGTATCTACCTGTCTTTGCGATGATTTGCGTGGATTATATCAACTTAAGGGAATTCCATATCTCAAACCTGAATTAGACATGGACACAAGATGAAATAGTACCTTTTACATGCTACAAAAAATGGATGCAGCTCTTAAATTACTTGCCGCAGACCATCTGTCAATTCATACCCTATATCCAAATATTAATGAGCAACAAAGTTTAAAAGTAAATAAATACAAAAAGAAAAAAAAATTATGATAAAACAAAGTATTTCAAGCTATTAATAAATATTTTTAAAATTTGATAGGACGTACTTACTTTATTAAAACCCTTAGAAGCTACCACTAAACTACTCTCTGCAACATCGTATCCAACCATAAGCGACATATATTTGGTGTTTTTAAGCATTCAAAATTTTTTAGATATGTATCTTGAACAAGATGAATTTTCTCAAAAAATAGCTGCTACGTCAATTTATCATAAGATAGAAGAATATTGGAATATAATGGATAAGTCTTCTGTCGTCTCTGCCATTCTAGACCCTCGTACAAAATTAAAGACATTTAATAAGACAGAAGCTATTAATGCCAAAAAAATAGTTCAAGAAATTATAAACCAATATACCTATGGATATCAGCAAACTCCTCTCACTCCTGTGAATATTGAAGACACCCCAATTAGGACCACTTGAAAGTTTTTTTGGAATTTGCACAATAGATTAAAAGCCGAAAAATTACCTGACAATACCCTTGATGAACTCTCAACTACAAATATTGATGAATTGGAGCATTATATTAAGTTAGAAGTTATCGAAGAAGATACAGTCCTATTAGATTGGTGGAAAGCGAACCAAAAAACTTACTCTATACTTTCAAGAATGGCATCCGACTACTTAAATATATAAGCGACAAGTGTGGCTTGCGAGCAAATCTTTTCAGTAGCTGGTAACACTATTTCAAGAACCTGTAATCATCTTCATTCCGAAACAGCAAGGGCGTGTCTCTGTGTTAAAAGCTGGATTAGTAATGGGGTTGGTGAGATTGATTAAAAAAACAACTTGAATAGAGATGATCTTATAATAGTGCAGTAGTATCATCCCTGATTTGTGAAATGCAAGAACTTTCTACTAAATGTTTTTTCAAAAATTGAAACTGCTAATATAAGTGTAAAAAATGTATTTATTTTAAAGTTCTTTTGTTTTTTACAAATAAAATCTGCTACAAGATCTACTGTAATGTATAATACATGATATCAAAGTTTTTTTTTCGAATTTTTTAAAGAATTTAAAAAGATCACGATCGCTTAAATAACGCATTCTTATTGGTTGAAGGTAGACCGGTCCAAGGTCTGGTCCTGGACCGAACCAAATTAAAACCGGTTTTTGAACCAGTTCACGGACCTAAGTCCGGTTTATGGTCTGCTACCTGGACCGGTCTTTTGAACCAAGACCGAACCAGGATGGACCGTAACATCCCTATATTTCATGCAACTACTTCGATTGCATAATTGATCGTTACTCGATCTCTTAATCCCCGATTGATCACTTGTTATGTGTATCACGTGCACAAGATAATGATTGATCGTTCGCTTTGCCTTTAATCCCATACAAGTTTACCACTTACTGTTTATCACCATGACACTGTGATCACAATAAAGCTATATATAGCTAAAGCCTGATAGTTTAAATTAGTAAAATAAAGATCATATAACATATGAGTGCCACCAAGAGAAAACCCCTAATCAGGCTTTCAATTATATTTTGTACCAGACAAAATCTATTTAATTTTTTAAAAAATATGTCTGGTACAAATTATAATTGAAAGCCCGATTAGAGGTTTTCCTTTGATGGCACTCATATATAAAATTTTATACGGCATTAATGAATCTCCAGCTTTAGCAATCATGATTGCAATTACAATTATTTATTGCAGTTTGCAAAATTTGCTGATTAAAAAAAAAAGCAATTACTTTTTAGATTAGACAAACCTTATTCATTGGAGATTACAAATCACAATAATTTTTTTATCTGTCCCTTTCGCTTTCATACTACAGCATACTGCAGAATTAGGGTATATTGTATAAGCTATTTGCTACATATGCTATATAATTTATCTACTGTAAAAGCAATATAAACGAAGATTGATTAATATTTTTTACTATTAGTA